CTCTAGACAAAGACAGACACATGAGATCTTATGTATCTACAACTATATATGCATAGCTCGTCCTTTGTTTTAGAAGATGATTTTTGTCCGATTTATCAGGAATAGTGGGGACAAGTTAGCAGTTCCTGTATTTATTGGACTGTTGGGATGTTTACGTCCTTGCATTCCCATTTGAATTAAACAATCCTTGATTCTCTTTATTAAAAAAAATTCAGGCCCCTGTTTAACAGCCTTTTGTCATACATTTTGGTCTTCAATAAGAGCTTCCCAACATATGGACATAGTCAATATTAAATTATTTCAAAGTTGTCTTCAGTACATCTTTCATCCACTAGACAATCAAGCACCTGCAGCAAGTTCTGCCTAGAAGATACTCTCTGAGAGATGGTGATTCAACATCCTGACAACATGGCCAGCCCATTGAAGTTGTTCTTCCAAAATTGTAAAAATGCCTGTCATCTGTGTTTGCTCCAGGATTTCACTGTCAGGAACTTTATCTAGCCCTTGGATGTCAAGAATTCTCTGAAGACCTGTAAGATGAAAGTGACTGGGCTTTCTTCTGTGATATCCATCCATAAAGCAGAGAATATAGAACAACTTTGTACATTGTTGGCTTAATAGAAAGACTAATTCCACACAGAGGATCGACATCTTCCAAAAGGAGTGCTGGCTTTAGAGAATCACGAGGTCATTTTATCATTACTCAGAACACAGGAGAAGACGGTGCTTCCAAGATATGTAAACTTATCCACTGCAGAAACGGAGTGTTTGAGTACCTACAGAACTGGTTTTTAATAAGGTATACTCAGAGAAGATTGGTCCATCACCACTCTCTTATCAGTACTGATCTTCAAGTCAAAACTGTTGCAAACAGAGGAAAATGAACTGAGAGTTCTTTGCACATCTGGAAGTGTGGTTGCATTAAGGGAACAATCACTGGCAAACAAGTAGCTCATGCACTGTGCAAAATGAAACTTGTGTGATGGTCTGAAGATGCCACAGATTAAACAGTTTCCTAACAGTGTGATACTGAAGGTCAAAATCAGGGAATTCTTGAACAATGTACATGAATTTCTCAGAACATCCAAATTTCCCATATACCTTCTCCACATCCCATGTCAAAAGCATTAATCTGATCTATAAATGCTATGTAGAAATGTACATACCACTCTTGATACTTTTTTTGTAGCTGTCAAATGACCTTAGAGTCTAAGGTGCATGCACAGAGCGCCACTGGCACTGCACAGCAGCCACCAGTATTGAAGCCTGTTTAGTTCTGGGTTTTGGATGAAACCCCACCCTGTGGGCAGATGGGTGAGGCTTCCACACAGCGGGGATGAAAATCAGAGGGAACTTTTTTTTCTCCAATAGCTAGTAATTAACTGCTACTCCCAATAAGACCAGTTAGCTCAGTGTGATTTAGCTAAGTGGTGCCTTATCACTCAACAACTGTTTCAGGGGCTTCTCTCTTAATTCGTTTAGTCGTTTAGTCGTGTCCGACTCTTCGTGACCCCATGGACCAGAGCACGCCAGGCCCTCCTATCTTCCACTGCCTCCCGGAGTTCTGTCAATTTCATGTTGGTTACTTCGCAGACACTGTCCAGCCATCTCATCCTCGGTCGTCCCCTTCTCTCTCTTAATAAGGACTAGCAATAAGATGCAAGCTATCGTGTCCGAAGAGTTTATTCCAAATGTGTTTAAAGTCATAACATGAATGAGGCAAAGGCTTTATGAAAGTACTGTATTTTTAAGTACCTTCTGCTTGTCAAAATTCGGAAAATTAAAATCATTATAGGAACATTATTTCTAACACATTGTTTTGCTCTTTAAAAGGGAAAGAGCCTACAAGGGTACTATGACGATGTTTGCAAGGCAATTCATACGTTCAAAGTACTATACAGATGATGGTGATTATAAAAATAATCCTTGGGCATTGGGTTTAAAATACGAAACAGGGAAAAAAACTCTTTTATTTTAGCAGCTTTTAAAATTGAAATCTACCCATTCCACGGAGCTTACAATGTACTACTATTTAACAGTCTGACATAAGAATGGAAGTATGAAATAAAACCAAACAAGTAAATATGAATAGCTTTTCATTAAAAATGAATCCCCATTTTAAATATTCAAAAATGCACAAACACATACACATACATACACTTTCTAAAGGTAGCAAAAGGGCAGGATCTGGCATATCACCTCAAGGAGGAACTTTTACAATTTTGCTTTGGCAGCGACAAGTATCTCACCAATATTTCTTTGAAAATTATCTCACTTGAAGATGGGGTGAGTGCATACATTCACAAAGCAGGAGGATGATTCTAAAAGCAAGAGCACTCTACTCTAACAGTAGCAACCTGCAGATTGTATCCACAAGACAGGTAATAGCTGCTGCAGCTGACAGAATACCAGTTTTGTGTGCTGTTGGTGTGATGTTCTGTGAGGAAGAGTCAAAATAACCGTTGAGTTGAAGACTTTGCCTCAAGCAGCAATGAACTAGGGAGCCATTTAGGGAGAAGTAGGTTTGGGTTCAAAGAATGTGTTACATTGTCTTGCACCATCCCCTTCATCAATGCCAAAAGAAACTGACAAATTATGTAGGCAAATGTTGCACCAATAGCAAGGCTTAAGGTTAGTTAAAGATGGAATTGTGGTTGCCAGGTTCCTGGTCTACAGAAAGGGAGGCAGCTAACGTGTTAGATATCACAAAAAATATTAACAAATATCATGTGGGCATAGAATATGGTGGCACACACTATTATAGAAAATTCTTTGTGCTGATGTTCAATGCATTCCAACTAATTTTTTTATTTCCAGATACATACTGGAAAGCTATCTATTCTTGCAAGCCTCCCCTGTGTAGTCCAGCCTGGCATGTAAACACTGCATTTTAATTCTGTGTGTTGTTATGGCTTATAATATATTATTGCTGAATACCACTCTGTAAACCTCCAGCTGAAGATATTTATGAACTATCGGGGAAAAAATGTTTTTAAAAAAACCTTTTCATGGCCCCTTGAGCCATGTGAGTAGCACTTGAACTGCCTGCATCTGGTCTATACAAATGGGAAGTGAAGAACTCAGCATCTGGAACATTCCTGCCCTCCTGCATAAAAGGAGTACAACTATGCGAATCTGTTGCCAGAGGCACAAAGTGCATGTGGTGCTGTGAAAGGCAGCATGGACAGACAGAACCCATGGCTCAGGCAACGATGATCACGAAGTCTTGTGATTCAGTCCTGTTCCGCTTACGCCTTTAGGGAGCAGGCTGGGGAGAACAGGGTGATATACAACATCTTCGTCAGCTATATACTCGCCGTATTTGCACGGCACACCCAGATAAATGGATGAGTAAGCCTGTTGCAGCAGAACCAACAAGTAGTCCTTCAGTACCTTATAAAACAGCACACATTCACTGTGATAGATGCTTTCACTGGCCATAGCCATTTTTTGCTTAAGCGTGCAAGAACATATGCCCTGTCTTTGAGAGACTGAAAGAACACTGAATGGATCTCAGTACTACAGAAAGCAAAACTGACTACAGAATCCAATCAAAAGAATGCGAGGCCCACCTATCATGCTTGAAGCCCACTGTTGACTCTCAGTAAAACAAGAGGAAAAGACAAGAGTGTAAACTAGCACTAAGGAATGTTAATTGCTTTCTGATTTTCTGAAACCAAATTCAACCAGAGCAAACACTGCAAAATTGGGCCTCAATACATCTTCAAAGTTAAGACTAGTGATATCAATGTATATAAACATGTGTAGAGAAACAGTTACTTTATATCTCACCACTATTCCTGTTTATATTACTAATACTATTGATTTGGCTATGCTTATTCATCTCCTGAAAGGCTCTTGCACCGATACTAAGTTCTATATTAATTTGTTTTGCATACTGTATGTCTTGCACTACTTGATACTTTTGCTTCTCTTTGTTTTGTTGATTTGTTTGTATCACAATGAACCTGGCAAAGTGGACTTTGGACCATAAAAGATTATGTCATAGTAAAAAGATGTCTCAGGACTTTGTAATACAGTACTTTTTGCTGCAATTGCTTCAAAAATCCAAGAAAGCTCTTTCATACACGCACATATTTGGCAGCTTCTAATGCCCAAGGCCAGGGTGCATAAATCTGGCCCTTCAGATATTTTTGAATTACAACTCCCATCAATTATGTTGACTAAGACACAATTAAGAGATAAATTATAAGACAAAAAACATGCAGAAATTCAGTTACCCACCCCTCTGCAAAGACAAATCAGTGCTTCCTTCTACTGGCTCACAGGATTTCTCACTTTAGAGCACATGTCCCAGCCTATCTGGAAGCCAAACCATCTGCTGTGGTATCCCTTTCCTCCAACTCCATAAATAGTGTGAAATTCTACACTGACAGTGCCCTTTACAGGTGCTTATTAACAATAATTATCTTACCTTTCCTATGCTGCCAGGAATCACTGTAGCTCTGAATCCTCCTCCCGCTACACTGCATATACAGTACAGTATCTTGGATTTTGAGTAAGAATAGTCCAAAACTGTATTCCTTGCATCAGACCAGCCCTACCATTACCAGAATGAGGTGGTCACTCAGAAGATGCAAAGGGAGCAACAACCCCTCTGTTGCCTTTAACTTCTGTTAGGGGTCAGAGTTGTGTTTCCCACCTGGTCCCATCAGCAGAATTCTGTTTACTCAAGTTGGCTCTAGCTACAAGTCTGGTCAGTTTCTGCATGTGGGTAGATGGATGGGGCAGAATGCCTTGGACCACCCTGTTCTTGAAACTCAAGATCATCATCCTCCTCGCCTTTACTGTTCTCCTTCTGCAAATACCAACGAAGGAGTATTGTACACTTCATGCATGCTAATTAAACCAAGTGCAAAGCACGGAAAGCTTATATCAGAATAAATCTGTTACTCTTCGAAGCATCCACGCTTAAATCAGACATTGATGGGGTGATAAGAGACGACACCCTTCCCGCCATGGTCGATCCCTGCACTTACCCCGGGGAAAGGCGTCTGGGATCCAGCAGCTGGCGGTGCTATTGCTGCTGCTAAAACTGATGCGCATGGCAACCGCCAGCGGAGCGGACTCGGTGTTGCCCATTGTAGTTCCTCGGACGACAAGGAGGCTGCAGGGAGGTCTGGTTCTCGCAGCCTGCGAAGCTACCTGCCCGTCTTGCGGTGGCGGGACAACCGAGGGGCTCGCCGGACTTCGGCCTCTGGCAACTCCAAGGGCTCCCGCCGGATCTCGAGTTCAAACCCGGCACGTGAGCCAGGCAGGCGACCAATGGAGGAGAGCGCGCGCGGAACACCTGCCAATGGGCGGGCAGGAGGGCCGCTGCGAGTTCGCCTGTCCCGACGACGACGCCTCCTCCTCGGCGCCTTCCCGGCCGTGCTTCTTGGGGAGAAGACGCAGCAGCTGCTGGGCGGGAGGGTGCCCGCGCGTGCCGGCCATACGCAGGGAGCCCTAGTTTTTGTTGTCTGTTTAGGTATACAAATACCAGGTGTGTAGATAAGTCCCGTTAGGTATGTGGACGCGAGTGTGCTTAATACGGACCTGAGAAACGTAGAGTTAAAGAGGCGCGCTTCCGAACGAAGCAGGAAAAGGCTCCACTCACTCCAGCTTGGGATACCTCTCTTCTAGGCGACGTTTCAAATGCGTAACTGAATACCCCCCCCTGCGTCTCCTCCTCTTTATCACGCATTGCCTCTGGTCAAAACAAGCTTAGCCCGACGTTGCTTCGTCGTCCCCTTTCCATCCCAGTTCCTAATAAACCTTTACGTGCAAAAAAATGAAGGCAAGCCAAAACGCAGCGAGTAGCAGTCGAAGCCCTGCAATGATTCGGCCCCCAGGACTGAGGCGGGGGTGGGTGGGTGGAGTTTTCCTCCCCCTTCCCTCACACAAGCTTTGCAATAGCCAGGCTCGGGAAAGCGTTGCGGGACTTAAAAGCTTGTTTGTTGTCGAGAAGCGAACATCCGAATAAAGAAAGCTGTTTAGGCGCCCTCCTTTAGCGCTTTTACTCAAGGCGCCACAGCTCCCCTTTTTGGAGGAGGCTGGAATGGAGGGTTTCCCGCGCCGAATTCGTCACGAAGGCTTCGCTAACGCCTGGAAACCACGTTATGGTGGAAGAGCCTGCCTCTGTGGGAGCGGAGAAGAGGCACAAGCCGCGGAAGAGGACTGGGACTTTTATGGGAACTGAGACCAGCTGTTGTCTGTCTTTCTCGGGCTCGCCTGTTGTGTAGTCGCCCAGTAAAAATTAAGCAGGCCGATGTTATTCGGTTCCTAATAGTTTGTCCAGCCCCCTCCCTAAAAATTTTTTTTAAAAAAAAACACCTTTCGAAACTCATGTGTTGGTGGAGTCAAGAGGATGGCATTACACGTGAAGGAAGTCCGTGGTTGACCTCTGCTTTACCCACTACCCCACATAAGCACAGACACGCTGCTCCCTCTGGTGTTTTGACTAGACTTTCTATCCTTACCCTGCTACTCTAAGGCTCACTGGGTCAGCCAGATTAAGAGAGTGCATCTAGTAGTTAAAGGCTAGTTTAACTAGCCATCTCAAGGATTGTATTTCCCTTTATGAGCCTGCCCAGATATTAAGATTATCAGGTGAGGCCTTTCTCTGGGTCCCAACATCTTCACTGGTGCATTTGGTGGCCACATAGGAGAGAAGTTTCTCTGTGGCTGCTCCCAGACTCTGGAACTCCCTCCCAGGAGAAGCTAGCCTGGCCCCATCTCTGCTGTCCAGCCACAAGCAGGCAAAGAAATACCTTTCTCTTCAGGCAAGCTCTTCTTGAGTGAACGGCTGCCTGAATGGGGTAATTACATGGATTGTTATACCTGTACCTTACTGCACTGAACTGTTTTGGTCTTGCTTATGTCTTTTGTTATTGGCAGAAATGTTGTGTTTTTAAGTGCTGTTAGACATCCAGTGTAGTGCTTAGGCATTAGCTGGGTGGGGTAAAAATGTAATTACTTAATAACTAAAATACTGTAAATAAATATTGTATTCATTGATCTTTTAGTATAATATACTCATTGTTATTAGCTAACATGCTGTTTTTTAATTGTTTTAAGTTCTCTTGGGTCCTTTTAAAGGAGAAAGATGGGTGAAAATAATTAAAATAAAACAATTTTTTAAAAAATAAACAGCAGTTCCCACCATTTCTTATCAGTGAACCTGGACCTGAGGCTGACAGGAGTTCTGGGTGGAAACAGGACCAAGTAACACTACATAAGAACACAAGATGAGTCCTGCTGGATCAGGCCAAGTGCCCGTCTAGTCCGGCTTCCTGTATTTCACAGGGGTCCCACCAGATGCTTCTGGGAGCACACGAGAGCACCAGATGCCTGTCTCCTGATCTGGCATTTGGAGGTACCTTCCTTTTAAGCCTGGAGATTATGCATCCACATCATGGCTTGTAACCTGCAATGGACTTTTCCTCCAGGGATCTGTCCAATCCCCTTTTAAAGGCATCTAGGCCAGATGCCATCACCACATCCTGTGGCAAGGAGTTCCACAGACTAACAATATGCTGCATAAAGAAATATTTTCTTTTGTCCATTCTCTCTCTCCCAACACTCCATTTGAGTGGATGTCCCCTGATTCTGGTATTGCGTGAGAGGAAAAAGAGCTTCCCTCTATCCACGTTATCCATCCCCTACATAATTTTATATGTCTCAATCATGTCCCCCTCAGGCTCCTTTTCTCTAGACTCGTTGTCTAGTCGTATTGGAGCCTCAGTTTCAGGATCTGTCCTTCCAGTGAGCACTCAGGGTTGATTTCTTTTAGAATGGATAGGTTTGTTCTCCTTGCAGTCCAGGGGACTCTCAAGAGCCTCCTCCACCACAATTCAAAAGCATCAATTCTTCGACGGTCTGCTTTCTTTATGGTCCAGCTCTCACTTCCATACATCATGACAGGAAAAACCATAGCTTTGATTATTCAGACTTTTGTTGGCAAGGTCTCTAGACTTAAAGAGTCTTTAGTCTCTAGACTAAAGAGCCTCAAACACTGTAGCCTGTCCTCATAAGGGAGGTGCCCCAGCCCAGTCATCATTTTAGTCGCTGTCTTCTGAACCTTTTCCAGTTGCACTATGTCTTTTTTGAGATGCGGCAACCAGAACTGTATGCAATACTCCAGGTACGGCCTTACTATCATAAGCTTTACTGGGGGGGACAAAAGGCACCTAGAATTGCATATTTATGCACTTACAGCTTGATGTGCAAGAGATCCAGGCCTTTCTCATGTTACTTGCAAGGAGGGAAACTGTATCCTCAAAACCAGAAGCATTTTCATTGTTCCATGCTAGCCTTCCTGTGTTAATCAATAGAAATGTGAGCCAGAAAAGCCTAGGTGCAAAGATATATACAGAAACCCCTGGGATTTAACAGCCATTCCCAGCTCATGGACACTGCAGCGGGTGTCTTCCTACATATGGCCCTGCTGCATGTGAGCATATCATAATTGGGATAGCAGATTTATAAAGATATGCATGTTCATAAATATCACAGTAGACATCTTATTTTTCTTACGTGGATTCTAATTCTACAGAAATAGTATGCATATGCCTGCACTTTAAAGAACTGGGGTATGATGCCCAATCAACAGCATCCCTAGCCGTAACTTCAAAGCCACAACTCCAATGCAGCCTGAATCCTCTCTAGCTTACATCTGAGACGAACATGTGGCAAAATCCAACTACCAAGAACTTTTGACCTCTTGAGACATTGGTGTGTCCTCAAGGAAGAGGCCATCTCTGATCCATGAAAGTTTACAGATTGTGTGATCTCTTTAGTGATCTATAAAGGTACCACCTACTCCTGCATTAGTATTGTCTAATGACCTCATGGCTCCCCCCTTTTTTTTACAAGAGGTTATTGGTTTTTATTCCTTCCTTTCTATCCATGAAAATAATGAACAGAATATATTCTCATTGATGGCATTTCCTGTGTTCATATTTTCCTACTCTAATTACAAAAGAAATACATCATTCCCTGTGACACTCCCTGTTACAGGGACAGCAGTTGCTGAATTTAAGAATGGTCTGATAGCTAAGAAGACTAACACCTCAGCCTCACAGGGGAAACTCTGGATCCTATCCCCAGTGATCTATGGCTGAATTGAATGGCATAGGGGTAAATGCATGCATGTTAACCTTAATCAAAAGCATATGCAGTATGTTCCAAACATTGCCATCCATGCAGTTACATGCATGTTAACCTTAATCAAAAGCATATACTATACAGTGTGTTATAAAACATTGCCATCCGTGCAGTTGCTTCTGAAAACTGAAACAGATTATTGATATACTTGGGTGCTACAACGTATTCTTTTAGGACAGAAAAGAATGGCAGCAACATGTTTGTCAGTCTATAAAATTTAGCAATGGAACTATTATGATGGCTGCATTTCTGCATAAAGCTAGACTAATAGGAACATGAACAACCAGTGTAAGACCATAAACTACAGCATCGGTCATATCAGCTCACATAATGAGATAAGACTTTGAAGCCTCCAATACAGAGTTTATTAAAGCAATGTTTAGCATTATTCAAGCCAGCCCAAAACATTTTACTGCTGGCAGTAGACATGATGGTACTCTTTCCCCCATTCCTCATCAAGAAACCACTTGGACAAGCATTTAAGAAAATAATATCCTCCACTGTAACATATGCAGCTGGCCAGTTTAGGGAATCTAAGGGTGCAAATCAGATGGACTTTGTCCCACTATTTGGTCCGCTGCAGGGACAGGCTGGTTCTCTCCTTTTTTCAGTGATCAGACAATGCAATTGCTGGAGCAAACCAGCCCATATGCAGAGTATTGATATATGCACCTTTCTGTGTCCCTGTCAAGGATTATTACATTTCTGGAACAGGTAGGATCACTCAGTCTGGATTAATTTCTAGTGCATGGGATGGCTGGGATCAAACTAAAGAGAGCTCCCTGCTTTAATTTCCCAGCTAGTTTCAATATCCCCATATCATGTAGGTTAAACAGACATCTTAACAACTTAATGATGTGAGGAAATTGGGAAATTAAAAAATTCATACCTTTCCTCCTCCAGCAGAAGGAGAAGCCAATTTATATATATTTTAATCAGTTAGGGCAGCTGAATCATTAAAATTAAAATCTATCTCCCAGCAGTGGAAGTAGACAAGAGAGGGCAAGGATATAAAGTTCTTTTTTGTTTGTATTCGCGAAGGCTTTCACAGCCGGGGTATAATGGTTGTTATGGGTTTTTCAGGCTCTTTGGCCGTGTTCTGAAGTTGTTCTTCCTAACGTTTCGCCATTCTCTGTGACTGGCATCTTCAGAGGACAGCACTCTGTGCTCTGGTGTAGTTGGCTTGGGAGTGGAGTATTTCTTTCTCAGGCCACATCATGGAGATTAATAGCAACATGGTATTAATTTAATATTTATTTATTTGAATGTTTATTTAAAATGTGTATAACCAAATGTAATACTCCACTCCCAAGCATACTACACCAGAGCACAGAGTGCTGTCCTCTGAAGATGTCTTTTTTGTTTCTTTGCCTTGCTAAAGGAGCCAGACCAAATAGGGTTGCTTGAGGTGCACATGCCATTGGGATTCATTTTAAATATTTAATTATGAAAATTGAAGGAGCAGAATGCAACTTACTGATTTTCCTAGTTGGGTGCAACTTGTTAATTATCATCAATCTGTTGTCATGATTTATGCAATTAAACTTATGCTGGTATAAAATCAACACAGGATTGTGGCCAATGTATTGATTATGTATTCGTAACAACAGCAGGACTGCAATATCTGTAGGGGATCGGTGTACCACCATGACCTTCCCCAACTAGGCACGCCCCAACACCTCCCCAGCTACCGCATGGGACTGCCATGCCAGAAGAGGGGATCAGCCACTCCACTGCTGTAAGACCAGCGGTCATCACACTGCAACATCACACTGCCATCTTTCTCAGGCCACATCATGGAGTTTAATAGCAACATGGTATTTATTGAATATTTATTTATTGGCATGTTCGTTTGTTTAAAATGTATATAACCAAAACTGTGCTGCTCAAACCCAAATCCAGTCAGCTTCCACATATTTTCATAAACATGAAACAATTATCAATGAAAGCACATTTCATGTAAAACAAATAGAAACAGGTC